GGGTTTAGGGGTTTCGGGCTTAGGATTTTAGGGTTTAGGGTTTAGGGTTTGGCCCTAGGGAGCCCTAAACCCTAAAGGCCCTAAACGCTCCAAATGCTCTAAAGGCTCTAAAGGCCCTGAAGGCCTTAAACGCTCTAAGGCTCTCTAAAGGCCCTCTAAAGGCCCTCCGAACGTCCCAAAGGCCCCAAAGGCCCTAAAACCCCTAAGCCCTAAACCCTAGAGTCTGGGGTTCAACGTTTGGGGCTTCAGGGGCTTAGGGTTCAGGACTTCGGGAGGTGTGCAGTGCAGGATTCTGGGAGCCCTTTGCCCTAAACCCTTAACTTAAGAAATCACACCGCTAGATTCTGAATCAGACTTGAAGGGGGGTGATACGGGCCTAATCAATTATGAGTTCAGCGCCATGGCCACCGGTGTAGTGTTAAGGGTTCAGGGCCTTTACTTAAAGGATCATGGGACTTAGCAACTGAGGTTATAATCAAGGTGACTATACTTATAACCCCAATTTGGGTACTTATAACCTTACTTACTAAGTCCCATGATCCTCCAAGTAGGGTTTAGGGTTTTGAAGTCTTTTTTGGTCTTTTGGAGGTCTTTTGAGTCGCCTGCATTCGGGCTGAGGGCCTTTAGGGATACTAAAAGGATCATGGGACTTAGAAAGTAAGGCTATAAGTCCCTTAATTGGGGTTATAAGTATAGTTACCCTAATTATAACCCTACTTACTAAGTCCCACGATCCTTTAAGTAGGTTTTAGGGTTCATCAGCTTTGACCCCATGCACTAGCGGTGTTGGATCCATAGGGCAGTTGCTGAGCATCTCTTCACCACGAAACCCTGAACCCTGTACGGGTAGTTCTCTAAGAAAGGGCCCCTTTTAAGGTCCCGAATATAGTCCGAGACCCTTAGAAAAAGGACCCTGAAAGGGGACCCTAATTTAGAAAACTACCCGTATGCCCTATATCCCTAAACCCGAAACCCTAAAGCTACATGGGTAGCTGTCAAAATTATGGTCCCTTTTGGGGTACCCTAAATAATAGGTGCCGTATTATAATAAGGACCTAAAAAGGGACCTTAAATTAGAGAACCACCCACATGGGTAGTTCTCCAAGAGATAGGGTCTTTTGGGTCCTTATAAAAATACGGCACCTAATATTTAGGGTACCCCAAAAGGGACCCTAATTTTGAGAACCACCCACATGATGCCCGATACTCCCTGAAGGGGGGAGCAGAGGGGTCCTGCGTGAAGGGTTTCGGGGTTAGGTCTACGGTAGAACCCATGGGCCCCTAGTATGGGCCCTTAACCCTGGGACCCGAATATACCTACTATATACCTTATATATACCCTGAAGGGACCCTAGAATCCCCGGGGCCCATGGGTTCAACCTTAGATTAGGGATTAGGGTTTAGGTTCGGGTCGATGGCTTTTTGGGCTTCTTGGCCTTGGGATTTTTGGGTTTAGGGTTTCGGGGTCTTAATGTTTAGGGGTTCGGGCTTAGTGCGGTTTAGGGTTTAGGGTTTAGTCGGGTTTATTTACGGCTTAGGGTTTAGTCTAGTAAGGTTTAGGGTTTAGGGCTTAGTCGGGCTTATTTAGGGCTTAGTCGGGTTTGTTTAGGGTTTAGGGTCTAGTCGGGTTTGTTTAGGGCTTAGTCGGGTTTGTATGAGCCCTTAACCCTGGGACCCTATTATACCTACTATATACCCCATATATACCCTTAAGGGGCTCTAGAATCCCCGGGGCCCATGGGGCTTAGTCGGGTCTGTTTAGGGCTTCGGGTTGTCGGATGTTGGCTCTTAGGGGGCGGTCTCAATTTCGGAACAGTAATCATAGGGGCCTCAATATTTACCTATATTATGTTACGGGTTTCCTTATTCTAATTATAGCATAATGGGCCCCAAAAGAGCATTCCCTCGATGTTTGGGCTCGACAGGGCCTCTTGCGCACCGGGCCAACTTGGCCTTGCCTCTTCGGGCTCAATAAGTCTTAATAACTTAGAGGCTGAGTACCCTAGCCCAAAAAAGGTTAACCTTTTGAATTATAGTAGGATTATATAAGCCCCAAAAAGGTTAAAGGTTACCTACTCAGCCCCTGAGATAAGCATTGTACCATAGTATAATTGGATCATAGTATGTTATAGTATTGTACTTTCGAACCCTACCTAGACCCTAAACCCTGAACATCGTACCCAGGTATATTACATCATAGTGTGTTATAGTATTGTAAAAGTCAAACTATCCCTGAACCCTAAACCCTCAACCCTAAACCCTAAACCGTTAAAGTTCAAACTATAATAGCCTAAAGGCCTGAACTTTACATCTTTGGCTCTGAAGCTGCGCCTGAAAATTTAAATCCGAAGCTCTACTTGGAGGATCATGGGACTTTGTAAGTAAGGTTATAAGTCCCCTAGTTGGGGTTATAAGTATAGTTGCTCTAATTATAACCCTACTTACTAAGTCCCATGATCCTTTAAGCCCTAAACCCTAAACCCTAAACCCTAATTATACCCCTACTTACTAGGTCCCATGATCCTTTAAGCCCTAAGCCCTAAACCCTAAACCCTAAACCCTAATTTTACCCCTACTTACTAAGTCCTATGATCCTTTAAGCCCTAAACCCTAAACCCTAAACCCTAATTATAACCCTACTTACTAAGTCCCATGATCCTTTAAGTAGCCCTAAACCCTAAACCCTAAACCCTAAACCCTAAACACTAAACCCTATGATCCTTTAAGTAGAAGGCAGGGGCACAGACCGCCCCGGAGGATTTCAGGGCCTCCGCCACCTTGTACATGAGATCGGCAACCTCTGGATGCTTAGGGGTTTTTAGGGGCTTAGGGTTTTAGGGTTTAGGGTTTAGGGTTTCAGGGTTTTTGGCTTAGGGTTTAGGGTTTTAGGGTTTAGGGTTTAGGGTTTTAGGGTTTTAGGGTTTGAGGGGTTTGAGGGGTTCTAGGGTCACCATTCAGAATACTAAGAGGATCATGGGGCTTAGTAAGTAGGGTTATAATTAGAGTAACTATACTTGTAACCCCAATTAGGGGACTTATAACCTTACTTACAAAGTCCCATGATCCTCCAAGTAGAGCTTGCTGGCAATGGCGTTGAAAGCAGAGAGACATGGGCCAGAAGATGAACAGCAACAAACAAGAGCCAGGCCACAACATGAACAGGTGATCCTTCTGCCTTGCAGCTCTCTGCCGGAAGTAGCTTACCAGCTCAGAAAAACCAAACCCATGACGCCCTGACGCCAGGTTCGCACAACCGCCGAATTAAGAAACTCAAGTTTTGAGCCCGGGCCGAGGCCAGGACCGGGTTTAGGGTTTAGGGTTTAGGGTTTCCATATCTGAAATATCAATACTTGGAGGATCATGGGACTTAGCAAGTAAGGTTATAAGTCCCCTAATTGGTGTTATACGTATAGTTTCCCTAATTCTAACCCTACTTACTAAGTCCCATGATCCTTTAAGTACCTGTCTATATTCATAGAAACATGTATGCACATGCACAGAGAAACGAACTCATGGCACACAAACATGTGCTCATATGCTTCAAAGCCGTCGGGTCCCAAGAGCCCCAAAGCCGAATTCTGGGGGTTAGGGTTTAGGGTTTATACTATAGATCCCCAGTATGGTAACTTAAATTAAATCCCTTAACAAGAACCCAGTTTAAGCGGCTGATCTCCATCCATAGTTCGCTCGCAAGTCGGGCACAAACTTCTTGAAAAGCTCGGCGATAAGTGTTACGCTCACCTCGGGCTTACTTAAAGGATCATGGGGCTTAG